TACAAATAAGTATATATTTATTAGAGTACTAGAATACACGTATACTTGGTCGCATACTTGCAAGTCATCTGCTGTCGAATTTATCTTGCTTTTCTCTCATTTTAAGGCTTTTATGTATTAAAATACCACAAAAAGCCATGAAAGCATATCGATATGCCACACAAAATTTTGTATCAGTCTGTGCAAGCGGTTTTGGTGGTTTTTGCAAGGAATACTAGCAATAAATACCCTGACGGAAGGAAGTGATGTTTTGTGTTTAAATCAATTAATTGAAAGTCTATTTTAAAAACAAATGCAATGAGTAAATGTTTTGAATATTGATAATCTTTTTACTCAAAGAAACAATTTGTGTCTTGGAAGTATGAAAAATCAGCAGTGAAGTGCAGAACGCAAGCGTATTCAAACGAAACATTCTGACTTTGAAGTTGTTTAAGACAAATGTATTTTAAAGTAGTTGGAAATATATGCAGTAAAAGGCAACTGACTGCTTCCTAGGATAACGCCATGTTAAATAAATGAGTTCGTTGCAGGAAAAAATGAGAATTTCAATTAGTTATCATTGAAAATAAAGTACGAATACTTTATAAATTACTTTCAAATTAATTAAATTTCCTGCAGGGTATTAATATTTGTAAATATATACATATGCACATGTACAAAGTAGTATATCTTCACGCCGGTTCATCATTGATATTTATGTTAGGTAATTGCTAATGGAATTTAATTTAGTAAAAGCTTTAACTTTGGAGCGAAGTTTTCTTAACACAAAAGAAGTTCAAAATAACTTTGAAAAACGTACTTTTAATTTTGTGTTAATCACGGACAGTTTGCTTAAGCTTTTAGCAATTTAAATTTCTTTATATTTAGTCATACCCAGAGCCGATTGTTGTCCTATCACAAAGTGAAGCTAAGCATTTTTTCAGCACTTCACAGCAAACTTTTGAAATTGATACTGATGTATTTGGCATACATACATACATACATGTACTATATATTATACCCTATCACTAATGATGCACAGAACCGGAGAACCGGAACCGGAAAACGGGGTCCTTCAGAGAACCGACCGGCCCGGTTGGTACAGGAACCCCAAAAGACCCGAGAACGGTTGCGGAAGAACCGAAACTCCGTTCCAAAAGAACCAAAAAACGTTTCCAGAAAAGCCGAAACTTACAGGCAAAATAACCGGAAAACGGTTCCGAAGAACCCAAAATCGATTCCAAAAGAACCGAAAAACGATTCCGGAAGAACGGGAAATCAATCTAAGAATAACCGAAAAAATAATTACTAGGTTCCGAAAGAACCGAAAAACGTTTCCGGAAGAACCGAAACTCGATTCCAAAAGAACCGAAAAACGCTTCCGGAACAACCGAAACTAGACTCCGAAATAGCCGGAGAAAGTCCCGGAAAAATTTAAATCAGATTCCAAAATAACTGGAAAATGGTTCCGGAAGAACCGAAACTCGATTCTAAAAGAACCGGAAAATAATCTCAGAATAATCGAAAATATAAGTAATAGATCCTATAGAACCGCAAATGGGCCCCGAAACGAACATTACACTCTGAGTGCCGAGTATTTTTGCAATGCAATTTGGATTTCTTTTTTTTGCCAAGCCTAACGGTCGAGGTTTTTCATTCTTCGGTGAAACCTACATTCCACTTAAATAATCAAAATACATCCTAAGCGAAAGTTTAATGATTTTTGACAAACTTTAATTTGCTGATATTAGGACGGTACGTTAGGGTACGGGGTAATTGAGGTCAAGGAGCTTTGGTGTATTGTTTTATAGAGACGAGAACTTCGATATATCATCGCTTAAGATTAGACTGTAAATACCGGATTAGACTAAGCATGCACACGCCGAACTTTTTTTTAGGGCGGCCAACTGTTCATGTGTAGAGAGCCCCTGTGGCTTTCCTCATACTTTCAAATGTGTATAAGGTGCAATTTAATTTCTTGTCCAGTATAAGGTCCGGAAATTTCGAAAATCGTAAATCTCAGCCGATTTTAGTGAAAATAGAATTAGGTGGAAAAAAATTAATGATGTTTTCTTTTCTACCGAAAAATTGTTCCTTCTCAGTGACCTCTACCTACATATAGAAAATGCGACATTTTGTATGGAAAAGACAACGCCATAAGTTTTTGGAAGTTAAAAATTTTAAGGTTTTACGTTACATTAAACGTAAACTTTTTTATAGCCATAGGAAAAATGGGTAAAATGAGTTGAAAAAATCTAAAAATAAATATTAGCTCTGTTTGCATAGACGTTTGTTTGAGCAGATGATTAATCATCTGCTGGAATATTTTAATATTTGCCAGAATTTTGAGCAATTTATTAACATCAGACGTGAGTCAACACAAGATAAAGGAAGTCAAAACACAAAAACCCAAAAAATAAACAAGCAAAAAAGTCACAAGTGGTGGCAAAAGGATACATACATTTACTTTGTATACATTTTCGATAACATAATTCGGTTCATTAGAAGGCATTTAGCTTTTCTTAGCAAACAAGCAGCGGAGGCTTTGCACTTTGTGAACTTTGCTGTTTATTGTCGTAAGCAAACCGTTAAACTTTTAATGCGATGTGCGTGCCCTGTGGCGTGCGAGAACAAGCACTTTTGGACAAAAATATTCTAAAGTATTTATATAAATGAAGTAAGGGTTTTTTTGTGTGTATTTTTATATTCCATTATAAATGTTGCCCACCTCAGGGCGCTTCAGCTTTTGATATCGCATTAGTCAACCGTTTAATTAAAGCACAATGCAAATAATTAAAATCTTTTTAAACAAAATTTCTAAGTGTCAATTAGGCTGCTTTTAGCGGCGAAAATTTTTTTTGTATCAGTTTTTTTTCCAGAAATGCTTTTTGCAGGGATTTTTTCAAATTACCATAAATTTCAATTACAAAACACTTCAGCTTACGACACTTGCCACCTCTGTATGTACTTGCCAGCAGCTAAGTGCCACTGTCGTTTCTGCTATGTTTTTGTTGTTACTGCCGCCGCGCAGTTGTTAGCCTTTATTGAAGCTCAATAATTGGCCTATATTGCATTGAATTCCGTCATCACAGTCGCTGTCACTTTGTGTGTTAGCATTTTTTTTCTGCGAATAAAATTTTTACCACTACTTTTTTCTATTTTTTTACTCTTTCGAATTTGAAATTCCCCTTTCAACTTTGCTTTTTGTGTATTGGCAACTTTTGGCAATTGCCATAGTAACGAAACAATAACGGCCTTTAAACTTTTGCGCCAATTAAAGTCGCTGTGGCTGGCAGGTGAATACAGGTAATACAAATTGTGAGTACGCTATATACATATATACACGCACATATATACACGCACATACATACACAAATTAGCGTGAAGTGGCAAAAGTACAAAAAAAACATTAAAACAAAACCAAAAAAACATGGCCATCGAACAACTTCAACACGAACTATACATATACATATGTACAAAAAAGTGAATTTAAAAAGCGAACAGCCAAAAAGAAGGTCACGTCTACAGGCAATCAATATGTACATTAGAGCGTACCGCCTTACAAGAAAAATAAACAAATATATACACCCCTGAGTCTAATACTATGTCTCCATTGAGAGATTTATCCATTAAGATTTAATAAATCCAGTTGCTAAATCACAACCGTCTCCATTACCACAACGAGATATGTTTGACGTTCACATTTTTAAATATTTGACGGTTGCTTATGTATGATTTTATAAATACAGTTGCGGACATTGATATACAGACAGATAAAAGGAAGGTACCAAACGGAATCTCATTATATGAATTCTGAATCTTATTGGCCTCTAATTCGTGGTAAATATGTATGTATATTATATAGTTTGGAAAGTGTAAAGAATGGTGCCATATTCCGAATCATTTTCCCGAATTTAAGAAAAATTATCAAAACGGTAAAAAACATTTGCGGAAAGAAAAATTTTTGTAGAACTCTCTTATTCATAGGAGGGAACCGAAAATCCAATCGTGGGCCTTTGGCATATCATCAATACGAACTGAGTTCTAGAGGATGTTCGGTGCAATGTTATCGAAGCAGAACCATTACCGAAATTTATACATTTTTTGTCGCAGTGCGTAAATGACTTATAGAAAGCCGAGAAGACTCTGCATGATATTACTATAAAACATATCGCTAAATTTTTAGTTATTAAAATAATATTTTCTTAATTTATTACAACCAAAGTTATGTAAATATGTATTACTAATTTTCCTCCCAAACTAACAAAAATATAAAAATCCCTAAAAATACGAAAATTCATGTTTTTATGATAGGCTAGATTTCAATGTCCTCAACTGTAAAACTGTATTGAAAACACAAATGTCATTTGATTTATGGCATGTGAATTTGTGGTTGCCACATCCAACAAATTGTGCTTATTGATCAATATTATTGAAGATTTGACGAAGATTTAACTTAAATCTACTGCCTTTCGAGATTTAATTTTATATGGTAAATCTCAAAAGATTTAACGTCAAATCTCGTCAGAGGGCTAAATCTTCATTAAATCTCACAATGGAGACATAGTATAAGGCATTTTTCCACAGCAATTTTGAAAAAAAAAAAAAAAAAAATTATTTTTGACAGAATCTAGAAGTCGCCTTTTTCGGTGATAACTACGCTTGGCATTAATTTTTTTTAATAGTTCTACTGGAATAATAGAAATATGTTAATTGAATCTGGTGAATAACTACCAGAACGGGGTACTTGAGGTCAATGAACTTTGGACCAAAAAGATTGTTTACTCGGGGCAGATCTGATTGTAAATGCCAAAGATATGCCCAAAAATGTAAAACGGCTAGTCATGCCTTCAATAAAAAAAAAATCGAAATTGCCTTCGAATAGAAATACTTCCTTAAAAAAAGTCTAATGAT